TGTGTCTCTCTATTCTTTAATTTGGTTAAACTTTTTCAAGACTGCCCCACAAAACCAAACCACATTTTTTTTTAAAAAAACATAACCAGAACTTTCTCCACGATTTCTACAGTAGAAAGACTCATTTCAATGGCTGGGTATGGCTCACTTTCAGTGTGTCTTCCTGGCTAGAAAAGTCTTCATAAAGGCCCCCGCTGAGCTCAGAGGAGTTCAGCAGCAACTCGTTGTCAGCCATGGCGAGAAGAACTTTATTGATGTCTAAAAGGTAGTCAGATGGAGTCAGTGAAGGAGCACTGCTACGCCCCACTGCAGACATCTCCTACAAGACAGATGAGAAGAATTAACTGGCACACTAGGTATTTGAAGTACTTATTCGTTGTTACAGCAACCAAATTAAATGAACCACAAAAAGAAAGGTGGATGAATAATAACACTATTTAAGGATAAATGTGTATAATAACCAAAAAGACAAAATACAGTGTAAATTTAAAAAAAAAATATTGATATTACAAAAGAAAATAGGAAGCTAAGAAGGCCTTCGGCTACACTGAGTGCTGATATTATAATAGTACAGATCTAAATGAGAGCAAATCAGAAACAACTACACTTAATGTAACCAGAGGGGCAAAAAACACTAAAAGATGAGAATAAAACTCTAATGCAGAACACAAATCCACTGAAAAACTACAGCACTCTCTGACAAAGAGGAAAAGCAGTGTAAATGTGATGCCAGCTGACACACCCATTCCCTGCTTTTAGCCCTCTACTGGATGATCATCAGTTCACAGAGGGGATGCAGCATCCTCTACATGATGGTTGGCAGTTTAAGCTGAATTATTCTCTTAGAGCTATCCTTCCTATTCACTTTGCTGGTCTCACTGGTTCTGATGCTGCTACCTCAACTGACTTTAAGCGAAGAATGTTAAACTTGACCCGTAAATGAGCTGCATTATCATGAGGCACACACATTAAAAGACCTGAAGAAGTAGAGCATGCTATGCCCTCCCTATAGTTTCTCATCAAGGACTCCAAAGTATTTATTCCTCCCCTTTCTTAGATGTGTGTGCTTGCATTCGTCTCTCACCTCAGCTGTAAACTCAGCTGTCTCCTCTCTGAAGGTGTGAGAAGACGACGTTTGCACGGAGACTTCGGCTCGCCTGATTTGCAGCACCTTAAGCTCCTGAGACAAGCAGACACAAAAACACACTTTCAGTGTACTGCATCAGCACACAGCAGAAAACACAATATAAGAATATCCCGTGTTTTTCTAGGAGAGGAAAAAGAAAAACTCTACAGAGGACACATGATATGCATCTCACCCTGTGAGCAGAGTATTGACTTTGCAGCCGGAGCAACAGAAGTCTCAGCTCCTCCCTCTGGCCCTCGTCTGAAGTTTGCTGCAGCAGTTCTTCTCCTCTTCTCAGCAAGTCCTCCACACTGGCTTTTTCCTCATCCATCTGTCACAGAGAGACACAGGGCAAAAGGGCAAACTGAGCATTCAAGAGTCTGCCATTCAAAAGTTATGTGAATAGTTATTCCGCCCCCCCCAAACAGTCCTCGATGGATCTCAAATCAAGCATCTTCTATTCAATAAACATGAAGAAAACATTTATACCACCATCTGACATAAACTCTACCTCTTTAGAAGCCTGAGCAACGTGTTGCTTGTTTAGCTAAGTATACACCACTCAGGAAATACTGTTTAAAACACAGCAAGAACTCCCTGACTGGCACAGTGACCTTGCTTGTGATTGGTCTTTTTTTCATCAGTCAGTTTGTTTAACATCATAAACTGTGATAAGTCAGACTGAATTCCAGGACTATTAAGCCAATCAAACCTCATCTTATCAAGTGAGAGCTTTACATTACACAATCTGCAGCCTGGCATATTCAGAACATTTCATTGAAATTTCAGAATAACCTGGGTGAGTACTCTTTGTGTGCTCCAATTACTCCTGAGAACTGATAGACATGGTAAACCTTTGACCAGGCAATAGACTGAGTCTTCTTTCCTCTGTACAGTAGTTGAAGCTACTTTTCTATTACCATTACTATCACAATCAGTACTGCTACTTTTAAATAAATGGACCTTATTTAATAATATTAAAAAAAAGTCTAACTGAAAGGTAATTCTCTGTACCTTATCATCATCCAAAGTGTTTACTGGGTCATGCTGATGCTGCTGCAGAGCCTTCAGTGTGTCCTGGAGCTCTGCCTGAAGGTTCTTTACTTCACCTGGGACTGCAGCCTGGTCAGGGTGACTCTGACTCCGACTTTCAACTTGCATCTCCTGACTGTGAATGACCTGATTAGAAGGAAATGGGGAAAAAAAAAAAAACAACAAACCTCAGGCAACACAGTCAGAGCTGCTCACTTCAATCTAATTATCTGACCACTTTCTTAAAGAGAGTTCAGCTGTGCTGCAATTCATAGAGACACACGGAATAGGGCCGTGTTCTTGTCTTAAAACACTTGGCAGCAGCATTTGTAACTTACATGAAATTAATTATAAGCCTATTGCCTGTGATATTATATCTCCTGGTAAGATACGGTGTGTTTCACCGTTGCATTTAATACCAAGGATAGATTCCTTACCTGCTGGTTCACCTCAGCACTGCCTGACTCCAGACTCGTCAACATCTGTGTTGCCAAAAGAAAAGAAACAGACTGGCTGAACAGACTGCATCAAGGCACTAATTAATCTCTCTTTTGTTCTATTTTTAATACCTTGGCTGTTTTTATGTGCTGGGAGACTTTGTCAAAGTTGCAGTTAAGCTCAGCCAGTTTGGGCTCCACCACATCTCGACATGCGGGCCCCCTGCTGGTCATCAGGATGACAGCTTGATCCCTGACGTTGTCCACGCGCAGACCGATATCCTCCAGCTCCTCCAGCATGCTCTACGGACAGACCGCAGAGTAGCTGGTCATTGAATTATCAGTTTGTGCCATCAGTCATCCTCCCTCAGACCGGCTGGCAGTGTAGCCTTGGGTCAGATTAGAGAGCTCGGGACATCATGTACTGATCAAGGTTAGGAGGCCTTAAGCTCAGCTGATATTTAGTGGGGACCTTCACTCTTCTTGGCAAAAGGAGAGGGAGAGTTAAGAAATTAATGCAGCTGTATGATAAATTATGACACCAACGTAAAAGAACTGCCTTCTCTTTTTTCTTTCCAATTTTATTCCTCGATGCCACCCAATCCAATCTCTCTCAGCCCTGCCTTCTCTCTCTTTTTAGTCCATTTAGTGATGACTTATAAAAAAAAAACCCAATAAAAAACAAAAAAAAAAAAAAGAATTGGAAGTAACCAATTTTAAACCAAGCACAGAGGTTTCACCTGCAAGTGCAAACTCAACCAATCCATTTGTTTAAAAAAAAACATTGAAAACTCTGATCTGACCTTCTTTGCTTGTTAGCGCATGCCATCCTAGCATTTATAGACACAACAGACACAATAAAGGATTCTTCAGCTGGACTCTAAACAAACAAAGATTAAAGATGGTGCTATCATTCACTTTATCTGCTTTAGATAAACGTGTTCCGAGGTCTCTGCTGCTGTTTTGCTGCTCTTTATTTCATTGTGCATATCTCTTTGTGCAGCAGGCACTCGTAAAATGGAGACTGACAGATGAGAGATGATAATCATTTTCTAGAGCCTTAAAAGTATTTTACAACGCTACCTACAGATGAATAGACACTGCAAATACTAAAGAAATTGCTGATTTTAGGAGGCAACAATCCACCCACTTTCATTAATTGAGAACCGATGCAGTGCGCAACCTCATATATGTAACTTGGGGTTGTAGCTCACTACAGAGTGAAATGAGACTCCTGGACTGAGTGTCTGAGCACAGAGGCACAACAAAGAAAACACTTTTATCCTTGACTGCAGACAAAATGTTCCTGTGCTCTTATTGAAATTGTTCTGAGTTTTTGGATCTGAGTTTTTGGATCACTTGTTGGTTTGGAAACACTTCTGAGGCCCAGAGAAAGTGTGTTAGAAAGATAGCAACACCAGACAGCAAACTGTTGGAGAGTACAGAAGCGAATAAGGAGCGAGGCAAATGCTATTGCAAGTGATGAGAGGCATCCTGTTACGTTCACTGAGCTTTTGGCCTTTTTCTGAAAGAACGCTGCTCTGTCGCTCCCTTTCAGTTCCAGCTCTCCCACACCTGACTGCAAAAGCTGAACAGCATTCAAGTTTTGTGTGGAACTTCATTTGCAGCTCCTGCAGCTCCAATTTTGGCCACTAGGCTCAGAAGTGTGTGGCCACCGGTTTGTTTAGTGATATTGGAAGAAAAAGTGGCAATCTTGAGGGATCCAATTGATCTGCTATTTTGATGAAGTGTTGTATTTGTTAATGGAACCTTTGTAGGGGTCTTCTGCCGATATTTTGGCCTTGGAGACCCTGACCCTGACTTTTTATTTTGAATGGTGTAGCCCAGGGGTCGGCAACCTTTCTGATGATGAGTGCCATCTAAAATTTCCTCACAAGTCAATGTGCCATACCAACCATTGCAATAGCAATAAATGTAATAACGCTCTATATCAACAGTTACACACTATATATAACAACTTTATAGAACTATATTTGTTCGCACATGTTGGCATAGTACAGTATTGTATTTGTGTGTATTTCCATGGTGCTGATGCTGCGCTGAGCGGACGGCTCCTGAAGCATTTGAAGTGTTGGAATGCGGAAATTTCATTGCTTGAAAAAAACACTGCCAGCTAGAAACGTCCCTCTCACCGGTAGGCCAAGTGATTTTTAGTCAATTACAAGTTGAATCTGGTAATTGGGGTTGTTAGCTAACATACCATCATTAAGAAGCAGCACAACTAATGTGTCTATGCGAGCTAATTTGCAATGTGCATCAGTGGCCCAGCCATTTATTTTTAATGCACCTTCTCAGAATCTTATTCACTGGGAGCTTTCTAAAAAAAGCTTTTCGATTTTAGAATCACTCAGGCCTGTCCTGCTTTACCTGTCACACTAATAACCTGCGCTGCCTTACCTTTATTACTTTTTCTCTTTCTGCTGGAGCCAGCCGTTCAGCCTCATCCAAGTGGATCTGGGTCTGGTAGAGCCAGGTGCTGATGTGAGCCAAGTTTTCATCCAAAATTTCCACCTCATTCTGGTGACTCTACACAACCCCAAAACAACCCCCCAAAAATGGATATTTAGGCAATTAAAAATTCTACGTATATATCATTTTGTACTTTATCATAGACTTGCTGCAGTGCACCAAAGAGGTGTATTGAAGTCTTTGTTTTGGTTTTGACATTTCTTTCTTTCCTGCAATCAGTAGAGTAAAAGAGCACAAAAAGAGCATGTTTCATTTGAGTTGTGAATCCTTAATAAAGATCATCTTGTAATGCACTTTGCACTGAGCAGAATATGCAACTTTTAAATACATTTCTTAGAATTTCTAAACTCACCATGTCTAACTAAATAATCCTGTACTACTGATATGCATTATAAAGTATGCATATGCAGTAATAGCTGACATGGATAATTGCCTTTACCTTAAATATATCTACTCAAGAGTAGCCTTTATGCATTTGCAAATTATGCAAAGAAATGAAATGAAATTTAAGCAGCTGGAAGGCTCGACTTCATTAAGAAACCAAAATATGACACCTTTAGTCTTTTTATATGCAGTATTAGGACTCACAAGAACAGTGCTGAGCCAGTCCTCAGTCAAAGTGTGAACACGTTCCCAGGCTTCATTAAGACCACAGAGTTTGTCCTCCAGCTGAGCGTCACTTCCCTCCACCAGAGTCTGCAAACCAGCGCCGATCTCCGTCAGGCCAGATAGCTCCGCCTTCCGACGCTCCGACTCCTTCAGCAGACCCTGGTTAAGCACATCCAGTTCAAAATATTCAACAAGATCATGTTATGACCACCATGTTTCAATAATTCAGCACCACCTCAGCTACCTGTCTTAATATTATCACACAGGCACATGTAAACACTGACACACTGCTATATAAAAGAAAAAATAATGCTGATGTTACTAAAACAACAACCTGCCTTCACCAAGATATGAAGAACATTTTCACTGCATAAATGTTTCAAAACAAGCACAGCTGAAAAACAACAAAAACACTTTCTACACCCTACTGTACTAAAGCACTTTTAATGACTTTATGTAAACTAGTGAACTATTATTAATTCATAGCATTTCAGTTTTAATGTCATTTCTGGGTATTTTTGGATAAACAGGGTCATTTTTTTTTCCTGGTTCTGTGTATGTAATCATAAATCTTTCAGTCCTTTTTACCGAAGTGGGATCAGAGAAGAGGAGAAGAGCTCATCAATTATATACGAAGCCACACATAATTCACACGGCTCATAATGTTGATTACCATATTAGAAAGAGAATCAGATTCATGTGTTTAGGGGCAAGAAACTGTCCCTCTGTGCCATCTACTGGCAAGAAACAGACTCACCTCTATTGTTTTCAAAGGTTTTGTTTTCACTAACACTTGCACAGCACACTTTTTTCTTAATAAATGTCTGTTTAAAAAAACAAAAACAAAAAAGCTTTCCACATACTGATACAGCTACTCACATTAGCCCATGCAATCTCAGCGTCAATGTCAGCTGGCATGTCTCCGCAGCCATTTTTCTGCTGGAGCTCGGCCTCGTTTGTGTTCAGCCAGTCCTGCAGGACAGCACTTTCCTTCTGGAACTTTTGGGATAGAGACAAAGCTTTTTCCAGGTCCTGTTTGCCCTCTGTTACCTGTAAGGACAATTAATACAATGGCATCTTTAAAAAGGGCTCAGAGCTATGACAGAAGTACTCAATGTTAAAAGCTAGATTTTGTGGAAGTGGAAGTGTTAATTCGCCCAGAATGAGGTACCTGCGCCCCGAGTTCATTGTAGAGCAATTTAAGAGCAGTAAGCTGCTCGTCCATGGCCTTGGGGTTCTCCGTCTGCTGTTTCTGCACAATCTGGCGGCCTGTTTTTATCACCGTCTCCACCTCCAGCTTCACCTCACTAAGCAACTTGTACAATTTCTATCCAATAAAAAGACATGAAATAAGTAGCTGTGTGGATTGACTGGAGAGAAAAAAAGAAAAGAGAAGAAAAGGTCGGTTTCTTACCAGACAACCAGCAAGATGAGACTGAATTTTTTCCGGTTCCACATCTTTAACATCCAGGATGTGAAGCTCAGCTTTAGCACCATCCAGGACCCTCTTACAGTCCAGCATGCGCTGCTCAAAGTTAGCAGGCTTCTGGAAAAGCTGATATTTTGTGGAGATCTCCCTCAGTTTCCTCTGCAGAGCGCAATTCAGAAGGCAAACAAAGTCAAAGATCGCCAAAAAAAATAGCCAATGTTTACCCAGCAAAATGTTAAAGAAAGTATGAAACTTTGAATAAAATTTAAATGCATCTTCAGGATTACAGAAACCTTTATACAAGTAAAAAAGGAAGAGAAGAAATCTACTATGTCTTATTGGTAATATTAGCCCAACACTTAGTAAAGAAAATGTATCAAAAAGGTAAAGGTATTAAAGCTATATGATAAGTGGTGGTGGCATGACAACTCCTGACATTGTCCAGCAGGGGTCAGTGTTACCTGTAGGTGATCCAGCATTGTCCCACCACGGCCAGCTTTGGCATCAGCGGTGTTAGGAGGCAAGTTGGCCACATTTCTTCTCCTCATCTCTTCCACTGTCACCTCGTGAGCTGCGATCTCTGCTCCAATAGTCTAACAGAAAGAGGTTTTATTTTTATACACACGGAACATTCAAGTATGCATTATTATGGTGGTTTTATGTTTAAGAAGACAATTTGAAGTTCAAGCATATTTCATTGCATATGCAGTTTATTAATGTTAGATGAAGGGCCTTTACGCGCCGAGGCTTCTCTGAGTGTCAGATCTCATTAGGTGAGTCTTACCAACACAGAAGTGTTTTATGTTCACGTGCGCTGTACCTGTGCTTCCTGTGGAAGCTGGAAGGCGTCTATGCGATCAGTGAGGTAGGAGGTGAGCGTGTGGTCCAGCTGGCTCAGAGACTCCTGCAGCGCTTGGAGCGCCTGTTCGTTTTCTTTCAGGGTCTGCAGCTGCTGCTCGAGGCTGATCTGCCGGTTCACTGCCTGGACGAGGACACAGACACCGAGACACATTTGAATCTGTTATAATCACAGATTTTAGTGTAGACAGATATTATATTTATTCTTATCATGCATGTGCAAATGGCTAAGAAAGAGACTGAAAATAATAGCTAATATACACAGGGTTACACTCGCTGTAAGCATCTTAATTATTTCTACTTTTAGCTGCACTCAATTACATTTGACAATACATTGAGGCATATTTCTACATGTAGCATAGCTGATACAGTAAAGGAGCACTCCATAAATATCGTATGAAATGTCAATGCATGAACTCTGTACAGATATGGACATGTTCTAGTTTGCAATAGACAGCATCAGATATAAATTCCCCGAAAAGAATAAGCACAGATTATCCATTGAAAAAGGAACTGAGATGTAATTTGCAACATTCCTGTTTATGCAGGAACAAATGTAGAACATGCACACACACAGAGACAGAGACAAGGTCCTGACCTGGTGGTTCAGTTGCTCGTAGCGGGAATTAAAGGCCTCTAGTTTTTCACTAATGAGCTCATCAAGTATGCCCCCGTCTATCAGCGTCTGACCCAGCTCTCTGATTTGTGTCCGGTTGTCCCCAGGGTGGCGGAGCACGCCCTCCAAAGACTGGTGGTGACAAAAGAGATGGAGAGAAGCATAAATACATCCGCAAAGAATCAGGAAAAAATAAGAATCAAGCAAAAAGGGGAGGAAAGCAAATCCTTTGAGGAAGCTGAAAAAATGATGAAGCTTTACAGTTCCAAAAATGTGCAACAGAAACTTGCAAAGCATGAATGAATTAAAAAGAAAAAGAAGAGCAGAGCTAACCTTGTAACCAAACGATCAAAAAGCGCAAAACATCAGGGTGAAAAAATGAATTCCGGTACATAAGCGTATGTGTGGATGAAAGAGAGAGAAACAACACAAAACAAAAAAAAAAGCTGAGCAAACAGATGCAGTCCAGATGCAGAATTTTGCTGGGCTGGGTGTGTCAGACAGCAGCAAACCAAAACAAAGATGATAACTGAATGAGAAATGAGAGACGAGTGAGAGAGCGAGCTTGAATAGTGACGGCACCGGTTTGGACCCAACAGTCACTGCTTATGTGGGGTCATTAAATTTGCTTTTCCTTCCCTGGAGGTAACAGACACAGAAAAAGACAGCCCCCCACCAGAGGGGTGGGTCTGATTAGGAAACTGAGAGGCCGGGAACGAGTGCCGGGTGATGAAACAGGATTTAAAAGAGTGTAGAGGAAGAGAGAAAGAGAGGGACTTGTTGGAGGAGAAAAGAAAAGTCAAAAAAATATATTATAAGGACATAGGCTAGAGCGGGGAAACATTGTCTTCAAGGGTCTTCAACTTCCTTCATCACTATGCGATGTTACAGAAGCAGCACTGTGATTAAAGTGACTCTGACAGTCATGCCGCAGGCGGTCTACAGATATAGCAGCAGATCAAGGCAAAGCAGAAGAAATTTGGAAGACAAATCAAAGACAAATGAGGTTATTAACATCCAGTTCAACGTGTAATGGAAGCATTAGTTTGTTAAATGTTGCCACTTCAAGCATACAGAACCAGAAGTGATCAGAACTTTACATACAGTCATCACAGGCATGAATATCATGCTAATTTGAGGCTTTTAAATGATTTATTTGAACTGTTCTTTTTCCGGGGTGGAATGATTGTACAGCCTACATCTTTAATGATGTTAAAAACAAGTATCCAAAGCACAAGTTTGAATATAGTTTGGATTTTCTACACAGCCTCAAATATATGCATACAGTCATTGACCACAATGACAAGATTTGGCACATTTGGAAGAGTAAAGAGTAACTTCTGACCCCAACTCTGTTTATTTGTGAGGTTATGTTGTTGTATCTCAGATAAAAAGATAAAATCTAAAATCCATTCAAAGATTCATGTCTTCTCTGTTTATATATTAAAGATGTAACTAATTATATCAGATTTCTTACACGCTTGCTCCTGACACATGCCTTCAGCTGTCGAAAATGCTTGTGTGTACTTTAAAACTGTTTCCACATTTGCTTTTGACATCAACATGTTTCCTAAAATTATGTAGTTGGATGTATAATATTAAGATTTCCCACTTTGAGATGAGGAATGGTGCATTGTTTTCCTTTTATGTCAACCGCCCCTTAGATGATGAGGATATTAGGACAGGCTTGCCGGTTTAAAAGATGGTTTAAGAGAAAAATGAGACAGAAATTGGAATGTGGCACTGAATTACATTGAATTTGATTACAGGTGTGCGTTTTTACCTCCAAGGCTTCATTAACGGCCTCGGTGCTCTCTGGCAGGTTTTCAGTAGCTTGGAGCTTCTCCTCCAGAGTGCTGAGCCAGCTCTGCTCCATGTCCAGGTATTGAAGCAGCTCCATCCAACAGGACCAAACCTCCTACAGAGCAACACAAAAACTATTAAAAGGGAAATTCTTGATGTTACTATGAGGTGACCACACTCATGAGCATGCCCCTTTTCAGGCGCTTAAAGAACAAAATAAAACATTTTAATGTTTATTTTCTTCTTTATAGCAAGACTAAACAGCCAAATTCTACGGACAAAGAGGAGGTTGTGACAAACAGGCTGCAGGCAAAAAGCATACACAAGCATAAACACAGCTTTCTGACGTGCCTGACCTTTAGTCTGCAGTGTTTAATCAAAAAAGGAGCCCTTAAGTAGGACTTTACACTTACAGATTAGCTCTGAAAACAAGAATCACCATTTTCCCTTCAAGCTTCTCTTGGTCTTTGCACGAAAATTAACAAACGAGGGCCCAAGAAATGACACATTGCATAACCCGACATGTCATTCCTCTACTGAACTACGGGACTTCTGAGCTGATGGACAAAATCGTGCCACTGAAGCAGAAAACAATGAATTAACTTCATGTTAATGTGTCACAGGAGCTTTTACTTAAGCTTCAAGGTAATTTAAATGCAACACAATAGGGGAAAATGACACTTTTTATAATTTACTTAGTTAAGTGCAGGTTTCCAGCAATAAAAGCTCATAATAATGAGATTAATCAATATATTATTGTATATTATGTGAGTAGAGCTCATTTATTGCATTTTTATTCACCAACAACAGAAAATACATTAATAAATTGATTACATTACCTCCAGGGTGTGACACTTGCTCTTGAGGCGGTCACAGAGCTTGTGGTAGTTGGCCAGTACCCCCTCTAGCTCTGAGGTCAGTTCTTGCCTGCCGACTCCACCTGTGGGTGATGTTCGGGACACCAGCAAGTTGATGCTGTCTTTCAGGATCTTCACTTTCACCTCTTTCTGTACCACATCCTCTTTAGCCCGCTGCGAGAGCCGAGGCACCCAAGATGAGAGAGAGCAAGAGTTAGATTCAAACACAAAGAATTACTCAACACCGCTTTCTTTGACCGCCCTTCCAGTCCAACCTTCATCTCTTCCAGCGATGCCTCCAACTCCTCTGGACTTTTGTATTCAAAATCCCTCATGAGAAACTCCTCGTCAACTTGGGCCATCCACTCCTGCATCTCTGCCAGGTCTTTCCTCAAATTCACATGCTTCTCCTGACTCTCTGCCACGCGCTCCTGATGGCTCAGCAACTGGAAGGAAATGCATTTCATCAGGTTTGTAACGAGCTGGCATCACATTTTTAGAATTTTAGAAATTCTAATATTGCTTAAAAATCACATTTTAATTGATCTTTTAATGGTTTACATTCATGATTATGCAATTATGCAATGATATATACAGTACAGCATATTAGTGAAATGAAGTGGACTTCATCTTCCTGTAAAGTACTTGTGATGTACAAAACAAAAGGTACAGGACACAGGTGAGACCACATGTTATGAAACCTTAACATTAAAACATTAAGGTTAGTTGTGCATGCAGAATTTGTTATTGTAATTTATAATGTAAAATTAGTGTTTTAACTTATTTAGCCTCTGTGTACTACTGATATGTGATTGTAACTTTATTATACGAATAGTTTGTGTGAAGACGGCAAACAAAAGGCCCAAAACTAACAGTTAGCTGTGTTCAAGGTAATGATGCACTTTCCATGTCTCTGTTATCAGACAGGTGCCTACACGACTGTGAGAAAACAAGCTCCCTACAGCTGAGCAGAGTTTGTATCCACACAAAGAGCATAAAGGAGCTGTTATTCTTCTGTTCTGTGCTGCTATGAAGACTGCTCGTGCTGTGCTGATCTGCTGGTTTGGTTTCAGCGTTCAGTTTATTTTTCCATGACATAAATCAGCCACTAAATAAATTATAAGCAATAAAACAAACTCACCTGTTTGCTGAGAGAAGTCCACCGAGCCTGGCACTCATCCAATTTGTCCTGCCCCCACCTGGCCAGCCCTGGTACTGCAGCTGCCTGCACCGAATTCACATTCTCTCCCATCTGCTTCAGTGAACCTTCCACCTGCTCCATCTCATTCACATGCTCCTGTTTATAGGAACATGAAAGGAAATCTTTATTTAAAAAAAAAAAAAAGTTCATTCAAGCCAAGCGCCCCACAAAAAACCCTACTTCAGCATATTATTCAAGTTGATTTCTGAGCAGTTTGTGTGTCATTACCACCAGTGTTTGTTTTTTGTTGCATTTTTCTCACACCTTGCACTGATTCAGTTCTTCCCTTAGACTCTCTGTGTCACCCATCCCTGTGGCATCCCGAGACAACAGCTCCTGAACTGCATCTAGCCAACGTTCCACTTGCTCCAAACGAACCTGAATGCAGCACAAGAGCAAAACCACAGTGTAAACTACAGCCATAATTTAAGCAGAAACAGACTCTTTATTCTCCCTGACAGCTGCTCTACCTGATTGTCCTTCATGCTACCCAGAATGCACTGCAAAGTGCCAAGCTCCTCACGGGCCCGGGAGGACAGCTGACTCCATTTTTGTAGTTCTGCAGGGTCAGAGGCTTGCTGTGTTTGCTCAATATCCAGACACAGGACCTGACATGAACACAAGTACAGAATTGAAATGACATTTCTGAGAAACAATCAATCAATCTTGGAATTCTTGGAAAAAACATCTCTTAAACATTGTTGCATGCGTAAAAGAAACATTTAAAAAGAAAAAAACAACAACAACTTTTTATTCCAGAGTTTAACAAAAAACAAAAAGTTGAGTCTGACAGGAATTTAAAGACCAATATGATACTTGGCGATTTAAAAATCCAGTATATCAGCAAACATTTGTTCTTCTTTTAGGGTCACACAACGGAAAAATTTCCCTAAAAAATATTATCTGTATCTTTACTCAGATACAATTGCAGGCATAACAATGCACTTTAAAAGTAACCTTGTTTTATTAGGTCATGGATTACTTGTTTACACTCTGCCCGACTCTGCAGGGATCATCTGGTTGTTGTGTTTGAGGCTCCAAACACATATTGCCAACAGGGAAGTGGCAGCAACGATTCTCATAAAATGGTTGAAGCGTGTTTCTGGTGTCTTTTCTTTAATTTAAATTACCTGGCTCTTATAATGCAGTATGTCTGCAAATAACTAACATTGATATTGTCTATACCGTACATCATATTGCGGTAAGTTATAAAGTCATTAGATATTGATCATATATTATACACCCTGCAAAAAAAAAAAAGTCTAAATGCTTTTCTGTGAATGTAGCTTCTTGAAAACAAATATAGGTATGATTGCAATCTGCATGTGTACTGAAGGCCTAACAAGCATGTGGTTTGTTCCTCATTAAATGTTCAACTCTTTAGTTAAATAGTGTATAAATTAATTTAATTACTCATTATTCAAAAACACTCCTAGCAATTCAATTAAATGTTAAGCCTCAAGGTGCTGCAAGTTAAAGACCATGTAATAACACTGAAAAAAACCCATCAATCAAATGACCCCTTATCAGCTAGCGCTTAGCGACCATGGGAAGGAAAAACTGCCTTTTAACAGAAAGAAACATCCAGTAGAGCCAGGTTCAGGGAGTGGCAGCCATCAGCTGGGGTTTGATAGGAGGAAAACAGATTAAAACCAGCAGTAAACTAGTGAAACACTGAAAAGTGCTGCTGTTAATTTTATATCATCAACATAAAATTTCTATAATACAAAAAACTGTGTGCTGTAATACATTAACACAGAGAGAAACCAGAGCCAATATGGTGATTATCACCTTGCCTCATTTGACTAAAGGGAACCTGAACTCGCACATGCTGCTATGGTATTGCATGTTGCGGTCAACAAACTGACTGACAGGTTCAGCGGCTCCACACTGAGCTGTTAGGAGCTCCGCGCTGCATGCACGGGCATGCTGCCCAGAATGCGCGTAGTCCCCGCCCCCCTCCCCGGCACCGTGCCCTATCTGCCATGATAACAAGAGCGCAGACGGAGCCACATTCCATTGAAGGATGGAGGAGGAGACCAGCACACACAGCAACACACAAAGCACAACAATGCACAGATTACAAATCTACACACCCTTCCCTCTTACACAGTCCCTCTGCACAGTCCTTCTGCACTTATACAGTGCAGAGGGAAGTGACTGGCTGATACAAGGATCTGTTATGCTTTCAGAGGAAAAGATGACAGTAAAAACTGAGATAATGTACATACAAGGACACAGAAACAACCAAAGTGAATGATGAGAATAAATTACTTGGGTCAAAGGGCACATATGACAGCAGCTAAACTTTTAAGCAGGCTCAAAATAACATTTAATATTTATATAGTTTCATTGTGCTTTAGAATACAAGCCACATTTAACCACACATTAATAAACCCCTTTATTCTATACGATTTAAGCACTTTATCTGACTCACTGTGGGAGGAAACTGGAGAACCCAGAGGAAACCCACTTAAGCACATGATCGAACTAGGATCTTTCTTGCTGAGAAGAGACGGTGCTAACCGCTGCAACACCGTGTTGCACAAAAAACAAATCTAAAGTGCTAAAAAAATTGCGCACGTAAATTCCAGAGGTATAAATACTAACTATCTAACTAATTATATCTATAGCTATATCCTCCTCAGTCGAATTGACATTTTTGTCCTAGCTGTCTGCTTGTCAGTTAGCAGAATATCTGTATTTAAACTCATCTGGAGGAAAACCCACCTGTGCCCGCTCCACTGCCTCTTGTGTTGTAGGCATGTCAACCATCCCGTTCCTCAGAGTGGCCAGTCTGGCTTCTAGACCCTCCACCACAGACTGTACCAGCTGTGTGGCTTCCAGATTAGCCAGGGCTGAAATAAGGCAAGGAAAAGAAGATGTTTTAGAAAATAACAGAGAAGAAAAGACCGGAAAAACTGTGAAATATAACTTTAGCATTCAGGCTTAAGCATCAAGCTTCTGCCACAAGGGGGTAGTGAGCAAGTTTGGGATTCCCCCTCTTTACTGTTGGAGATGCTTGTGTTTTCCATACACTAAGAGGTTCCCAAACATTGCACTGTGTGTTAAACTTAAAATAAGTTTGGATTTGCTATTTCCAAAATAGCAAATCCAAACCTCTAAAAGGTTCACAAGTGACCAATTTATTTTAATTAGTTCAATTACCTTTCATTTTACACTTATTCCTCTGCACATTTTTCTATGCTTCCACTCCTGTCTTCCTTCCCCTGTGTCCCCTTCTCTGTTAACTACCAGGTGATTTAATGCTTACGTAATCTGGCTATGTTCATATACACAAGGAGCAAACCTGGAGTGTAAGTGTGGGGTGGGGGTGGCGATAGAGAGGGCCCCAGCAAGAATCAAACCGCCCTCAGGCAGAAACAAAAAGGTTTTCCTTGGATCCCATCCAAACCTTCAGTGTCATAAAAGCCCTAGAGGTACAGCAAAACAGGCATGCAAACACAACACACACACACACACACACACATCCCCCTACAGTCAGCAGAGCATTCAAGCCTCCCTTTACGGATATTTTTTGGCCAGGATCAGCGCACGTAAATTCCAGAGGTAAAACGGTGACTTATTTTCAGAACTCGTCCAGGTCCAAGTCAGGTCCTCAGGTAGAGACAGAGCTGGCACAGAGGTACGATCTTACGCACGATCGCTCACGTACACACTCGCATCTCCGTGAGCTTTTGGAGGCCATATAAGGGCATCATCTATTACTTGTGGCTGGCCAAGGATTCGTATAAAAGCTCATGTCAAATTTACACAGCCCGTGTGGAACAGGGCTCTGCTGATCTTAACCATTACTCATTCAGTCTCCCATAAACCTGAAAGCTTTGCACCACAAGCAACAAGAGAGATAAAGGCATTTGTTTTAAGGGAGGTTTAAATCTCTGCCCTGCAGATCTCAGGAATAAGAGGATATCTGAAAGCTCTCAGGTCACTGGAAAAGCAGGTGGACCTGCTCAGAGTTTCGGACTTCATTTCTACTGTATTGATTTACGAAATTATTTTAATGCACAGCAGTACCTTCATTGACTTCCTTTTCTCTGCTCTGCAGCTTCTGCAGGGTGGAGGCATGATGTGCAGAAACCACCACCATGTTGTCTTTTAGAGAAGGCAGGGCTCCCATTGACCCTGCCTCTGCAGACAGCTGCTCCAGTCGTGGACTGAAGGCGGTGACCTGAGCAATTTGAGACTGACAAGCACAAAAGAAAACAAATGTGTTCACGTGTTTGAAATGAGGAGTGATCACATGACCACACTTCGGTCAATTGGCATTCAGACTTCTCATGTTTGTTGAAAACAAATAGAAACATTTACATTTGATTCTTTATTGTGCAATTACATACATTTATCTAAAATAATTACAAAACGTCTTACTCACACTGCTGCAGTGAGTTAGCTGACTGGTCTGGAATTTACCAGATGGAGTCATTGTTTCCAATGACAGGCAAGTAAGTTAAGCTCAAATTATGACACACTGGAGGGAGGTTTCATCTGTCTTACTCTACTCTACAAGCTTTTGAATGCATCTCAACTTGATTTACTGCATCCCTGTTGTGACCTCGTGGTTTCTGATCAGTGATTTTAATGGTGATTTATCTTTGCTGTAAAAATTGTAATACTTGTAAAGAATGCAGTTGAATGAGAGGAATTTAACAAGTGACGTTTAGGGTTAAAGTCACACAAAGGACATTGAAGTGTCTGCGAGTGAGACGGTAAATCTTACCTGGCATTCCCCCCTCAGGTTTCCGAGCTCCATCTTGTTGCACTTTTCTACAGGCGCGGTCGAGTCCAGCCACTGGTCCTGTTCCTGCAAGACCCGGTCCAAGCCTGCAAGTTCATTAGAAACCGCTCTCAGCCGGGTCTGCGTGAGAACCCGCTCACGGGCTGCCTGCAGCTCCCTCGCACAGACATCCCACTCAGTCTGGAGCTGCTCTATGTTTGCCCTCACCAGATCCACACTCACAGCCTCTATAGATAGAAACAAAGACACCGGCTCACATCAAATGCACTTAACAGCTAACTGATTTTAAGCCTTTGAATGTTTCAATGTGTCACAGCTTTTGTTCTAGATTTTATGTGGGAGCTCCTAGCAAGTAATAATTGTAATAACACCAGAGGATAAAATAATGGAGAGAAGGTAAAACAGATGAAAAAGCAACTGATGGAATAAAACTGTTTAATGGAAATTTTGACGTTAAAAAAAAAAAAAAAAAAGTCTTCTCCAACTTAGCCACGCCACCACCTCCCACTGCCTCCAGAGCAGTGTAAACACGTAAAAACCCTGAGTGCCTCTTCATTTCATTGAGTGGTTATATGAAATCAGCAACCCTGCAGACTGACGGGGTTTTATTACTCAAACTCCAAATACACAAACACATGTTTAGAGTTCTGGCATTTAAAAATAAATAACAATAAAAATATGTAGGCTTGTAAATACCCAGAAAATACCAGACAGCTGCAGAAAAGTGGTAAAATCTTATGAGGAAAACACAGTTTAACAAGGAGATGGAAGATTGTTGTTTGAACTGCCTTAAGGCAATAAATAGAAGTCAAGATCTTTACACACTTTAGAAGAACATACGTGACAAAACTTGGATGATTTGTTTCTAATAATTTTGTGGTTTATACAGAAAGAGGAACCTTTACTCTATGTTTCATACCTCTCTCTAGCTGGTCCATCAGGGCTCTTCCCCCCTGGATCATCTGACTCACTGTGGCTTCTTTTGCTTTAAGTTCTGCTTCCAAATCCTAAAGTGGTTGTTTAACACATAAAGTTTATGCCTACAAAATATATTTTGTTCAATTGAAGTTGAAATTATGTTAAATGTCTGCAGGTCTACCTTTAGATTCTCCTGAAGGTCTGGAGTATCAGGTGTAGTCTCAGGATGTGTGGTGGCCAGTGCCTGAGTGGACATCTTCCACGTTTTTATCCAGCTCAAAAGCTCAGAAATTTTGTTTTCAAACCTGCAGAACACAAAAGACATGCACACTATGTACACACTGCTGTGTGTGTGTGTGTGTGTGTGTGTGTGTGTGTGTGTGTGTGGTAGGGTAGAGAGATTTATTCTGTCTGTTTATGGCCCCACTCTTACATTCTTATGACTTCTGCATCCGTCTCCACCAGACGTTTCTTTGGGGGAGCAGGTGGGGCCAGGTCCTGATCGTCAATTGAAGTGACCGAATCCACAGCAATTGTATCCACGACGACCTGTTCTTCCACCTGAGTCATCCCAGCATCCGTCACAGCTTCCATTAGCTGTGAGGAGTGAGTTATAGTATTAGTGAAAAAGAAAGGAAGATAAATCAATCAAAGCTAAGAAAAAGAAATAAAAGTACACTACCAGTCAAAAATTTGGACAAATTTGGTCATTTATGTTTTTTCTTTATATTTACTACTTTCTACATTGCAGATACATAATGAAGATGTCAAATATATGAAGCACTGCTTTGCTGGTAACATTGTCGGGGATTGATTCAAAACTGAAGCAGCGAAACGAACCAGCATGGATACCAGAGCATCCTGCAGCAATATGCCATCCCATCCGGTTTCAGGACAATAACCCCAAACACACCTCCAGCCTGTGTAAGGGCTATTTGACCAAGAAGAAGAGTGATGGATTGCTGCACCAGATGGCCTCCACAGTCACCTGACATAAACCCCATCGAGATGGTTTGGGATGAGATGGAGCGCAGAGTAAAGGCAAAAGGGCCAACAAGTGCTCAGCATCTCTGGGAACTCCTTCAAGACTGTTGCAAAACCATTTTAGATGACGACCTCGTGAAGCTCATCGAGACAATGCCAAGAGTGTGCAAAGTTGTAATCAAAGCAAAGGGTGACTATTTTGAAAAATCTCAAATCTAAAACATATTTTTTAGTTATTTCACACTTTTTTTTGTTTACTACATAATTCTGTGTGTTCATTCATAGTTTTGATGCCTTCCTTTGCAAAAATGGTGAAACAGTAAATGCTCATTGAAGCATTAACCATGTGAGAATCATGTTTTACCACCTGAGATAGAGTCACGCACCTGAAACGAGCAGTCTTCTAACTTCTGCACCAAGCTGTCCCATCGCTGTGTCAGCTCCTCTGTGTCTGCCTCGATCTTCGCTCCTGCATCAGGACTTCGCAGCAGCTGGATCACATCCTGTCCTGCATCAGACAGCTTGTCCAGAGCCCTCCTTTTCTTTTCCATGTCTTCCTTTAAAATCTATAAGAGC